CCCTGTCCCACATTCATGCCCTTGCTATGTGACTTGCTCTCCCATTTGATACTGGATTTAATCAGTTTTACCTGAGTAATGGTGCTTGTAATCCCATTGGTTGACCATAGTTTTGTCCCACCTCCTGCCCACCTAAGCGAGTTCCCATTCTCTCTACCTTAGTCCCACAAGATTTTACACTATAAAAATCCCTGGAAGAGACAGCTTCCCGGGGAACTACCCGCTCGGGCCCCCCTCCTGTCCCTCTTTTGGACAGGAGCTTTCTTTCTCTCAATAAATATATTCTGCTCATTAAAAAAAATACTGTGTTGGAGTCTCAGAATTTGCTAAAATAGATCTTAAGTATTCTCACCACCCCATGGCATCATGTGAATTGATACAAATGGGAATTGACTTGATTGTGGTAATCATAATCATTTTAGGACATGTCGCTATATACAGAGATTCCATTATACACCTTAAATATATACAGCTTTGTTTGTCAGTCACACATACAGCTGGAGAAAATGAAACTATTAAAGTACTAAAAGAAATCATGAGAGATCGCTAAAGCTAGTCAAATCCTCCCTGAACACACAAACATAAGCACACACGTCATAAAGGGAAAAATAGTCACTCAGTGCAAACGATCGTGACCTCGCTGAGTCCCTGCACTTCCCTCTTACTGGGGGAAGGCTGAGGACCTCAAGACTGCGCTGTGTTGAAGTTCCCAAGAGTCAGTGTACAGCACAAATGCAGATGCCGACGAAAGCTCCACATGAGGCCAAGCAGGAGCCATGATGTGGAAACCAGGAAATAGGGCAGAGGCAGAAGCTAGCAAGGGAGGAAGGAGCACCAGGAGCATGTCCTAATTTGATGTATTAGCCTCACGTGTGTCTGAAGACAGAAAGAGAATCTCATAGTCATGGCCTCCAGGCCCTTCCATCTGGTTTGGAGGCTCCTCAGTCACTCTGGCTCATAGACAAGGGCCTCCATCTGCTACCAGGTGACACCCATTCCGTAGTCACTGTCGCAGGGCGAGTCACGTGTTTTTCTCCGCGAGTCACCCGTGTCTCGGCCATTGGCTCCTCACAGCCACGTGGGGCTGGTCCACTGTCAGGCAGAGCTGTTCACGCTGCACCACCACCGCGTGGCTTGGCCTCCTCTCCTGCAGGTCAGGGTTCCAGTTTCTCTCACTTCCTGGTCATGGATCATGTTGTCACCATTATACGAAGCTCACTTCTCATAAGCCTCAATTTCTCCTTCTCCTTCTGTAGCCTGGAATTGGATGCAGTCACCGGATGTGTTCTGAGTGGTCTAAGAGGAGAGCTTCTCTTTCTTGTCAATATCACACAACCAAGAACAGCTCGGGGTTGTACACGGGAGCTTACTCGGGATTTAGAGGCAGTAAGAGGCTGGCAGAGAGCGAGCCCCAAGGGTGAGGTCATCGGTGCGTGAAACGCCTGCCTTTGTCACCACCACAGCCGCAGCTTCTTCCTGTACAGTGGTTATTTCTGTGCCTTTAGGTCTCAACCTCTTTCTCTACCCAGCACCAGGTCACCACACTCATTCTGATGATAATATTATACCTTACGGTGTGGCAGAAAACGAAAACCAACCCAAATGAAGACGTTGCACCGAGGAGTTAAGAGGCCACTTCCATTATGCTAGTGGGCTGTGGAACCCAGAGGCTCACATCACCAGCCGAGTCAGGTTGGGTTTAGTTTGCAGTTTGCAAGTGGGAAGTACAAAGCTGACAGCAGGTTATTACATGATGGAATACATGGATTACACGAGGTAAGTCATCTGTTGTCAGGCAGATTTACCCAAAAGGAATTGGTTATCATTAGACTAGAACATTCTGGGAAGGAGGGGAGGGGTGTGCATGGAACGACTTGGAAGCAGTATGTATTTTTCTAACTAAGGGAAACCCAAGCTGGGCACACTCAAGTTGGCCTTTTGCATTATCGAGAAGTAGACAGCCGGGGCTGACTGGATTTAGCAAGTCAGTGAAGCGGTCACAGGCTCTGACTGGCTTCTAGCTTCTGCTATAATATGCCTGTAAGTCTGCTGTGCTGTAAATGTGCTCTTACCAGAGGAAGGCGTGGGGCTGGGGCTTGCGAGGGAGTGGGCCCAGCTCTGGGTATGTGGATAGCTTAAAAAAAAATTCCCACAAAAAATTTAGATACACGAATTCCTCTGTCTTGGGCATCTTGTTGCATGAACAGCTCTGTTAGACTGAACTCTGCCTCCGAGATCTCATCTTGTCCAAGTTGTTCTCTTGCAGGAGTGCCCAGAAAGCATCCATGGCTCTGTCATTCAGCACATCCCTACCTTCATGGCCCCCCATTACGCTGATGAACATATTTTACCAAAAGGCTACCAACAAAGCCCAGCTGTCCGTTGCTGTACTCAGAGAGGCCAGTCCACGACAGGAGCCACTCCCCTAAGGCCGTTCCTAAGTGGAATGTGGCATATATTTGGACAAACACGAGACAAACACTACTGGGGACCAGGCTATGTGATAGATTATGGGGGAACTGGTCATCTGATTGAAGCGCCCACAGGCCTGAGGTCGGTGTGACCTTCTTTCAGGAACAGGAAGGGACAGGGAAGCTCAAGTGTCCCCCTCTATGAGCAGAAGGCTGATAACCCAGGAGTCCTGAGGCAGGAGAGAATCTGCTCAGGACAGCTGTCAAAACACAGGCATTTGGATTTAGAGAAACTCTAGTTCCTCATTAACATGTCCACCCACTCACTACAGTTACTGCTCCATGAGCCACACACCCCCCCCCCCCTTCTTGTAGGCTAATAGGAGAGGGCTGGCCTCAGAGGGAGCGGGGCCACCCGCTAGACAGGACCTCCTCCCAGGGCCCTGGAGTTTGTCTGTCTTTCTTTGTTTTCCATTGTCCTTTCTACAGGCTTCAGCCCTTAGTAAAGCACAGGAATTCCCTCTCCCAGGGCTACCTTCACTTCCAGAGGTGGAGAAGCGCCTACCCCAGTGGCTGGGTGGACAGCACCTGTCATTTTCTGAAGGAGATTCAGCCATTTGTGTAGGCACCTTTTCTACCTTTAAATTTTTACTCTATTTTCAGTGAAAAATATAGGCAGATGTTGTTTGACATAGAAACTTGTTTTCTGTCTACCTTGCTACCTGTCTCTTCTTTTTGGAAAACAAAGAAATAGAGAGTGACTCCTAATGAACAAATCAAATATGGAAACAAGAAAGTGTAGGGGATCTAAAAGGCCAGGCAACCCGATGGAGCAGGAGAAGGGGGCAAAAACACCAGGGCATCGAAAGTGGGTGGCAAGGAAACCCCGAAGACAGAGGAAATGCCTCAGTCTGATCAAGGAAGGCCAGAAAGGCTGGAAGTCAGGTGAGAAGAAAAGTTGGCCCTGACGTAGGAGCAGAGGGAGCCTAAGCCCACGGTGAGACGCCTCTGTATTGCACCTTTCACCGGGAAGCAAGAAAAATGAATTTTAGAGATTTCCAGAGAAAAAGAAGCATCAGAACCTCACAACTTTGCCAGGTGTGATGGTGCACACCTGCAATCTCAGTACTCAGGAGGTTGAGGCAGGAGGATCATTGTGAGTTCAAGACCAGCCTGAACTACACAGTGATACCTTGTCTCAAAAAACAAACAGAAGAACCTAACTTGGTATACTGCTGCGACACAGAAAATAGTCGTGTTTCCCAAGAAATAGTCTACAAGATGGGCCCTGCCTCGCCATCGGGGCAGGGGCTTGTGCTAACCCTTCTTTGTCAACCTGACCCATAGCAAGTGTGTGTCAGAATACACTGCAGAATTTTCTCCTGGGTTACAGGGAAGACCTATGGGCCTCTGTGAGTCATTGCCATTCCAGGGTAGACAAGATGTCTGCACAGAAGGAGCTGGAAGCCTACAGTACCAAGAGGCAGCGTGCCACGGGACGTAGCTCTGAAGAAGCTAAAGTGAGGACATCGGAGATGATTCAGGAGGCGGTGGCAGATGAATCCTAGCACGTCAGGAAAAGGAAGTAATATTTACCATCCACCTTGAAAATGTTACCAGGAATATCAACTTGCCTAATTTAATAATTGCCTCCTTATTAAAAAAGAAAAACAATAACAAGGAAAGAATGTTTCTATTGATGGCAACCACTCAGCAGGGTATAAAAGGACACAGGGGCAGGCAGGCATCCAAACTTCCCAGAACCTCCACCTTGCAAACCCACCCAGAACCTCCAGCCACCGACACCATGGTCAACTCCTGTTGTGGCTCCGTCTGCTCTGAGCAGGGCTGTGGCCAGGAGAGCTGCTGCCAGCCCAGCTGCTGCCGCCCTACCTGCTGTGTGTCCAGCTGCTGCAGGCCCCAGTGCTGCCAGTCTGTGTGCTGCCAGCCCTGCTGTCGCCCCAGCTGCTGCATCTCCAGCTGCTGCAGGCCCCAGTGCTGTCAGCCCACCTGCTGCCGCCCCAGCTGCTGCAGGCCCCAGTGCTGCCAGCCCACCTGCTGCCGCCCCAGCTGCTGCATCTCCAGCTGCTGCCAGCCCACCTGCTGCCGCACCAGCTGCTGCCAGTCCAGCTGCTGCAGACCCCAGTGCTGCCGCCCCACCTGCTGCATCTCCAGCTGCTGCCGCCCCACCTGCTCTAGTGCTTCTTGCTGCTGAGCGCCCTGCCCCACCTGCTTCCATTCCTTGCCACAAGGCAGTCCTGATGTAGGCCCCTGGGAAGCTGAGGCATGAGGGGCCCACTATAAAACCTCAGTTCCAGCTGGGATTGGCTTTGGGCTCCACTTATTGCCCCTCCCCCAATTACTCTCAGCCAAATGAACACGAGTTCCACCTTTCTCTGACCTTTGTCAAACATCCTGTGATCCTCAGAGAAATCTTCATCTCTGCCATACTGGAACTCTCCTTCCACCCTAAATAAACATGAGCGTTGCCGGCACACCATATAAAGGCTTTGGTCTCTTTATTTTCCCTTCTTGGGTCACCATCCTTCTGTGTTCCTCAGGCGCTCCTCACTCTCAGACAGGAAGATGCTTTTCGCAGCGGCACCGGCCACTCCCTGGCAGAGGCTGTTCCCTGGTGAGGAGCAGGTTCCGGGTAGCAGAGCAACCCTCTGGGAGCAGGGCTGACCCAGGGCGAAAGGTCTTGCTCGCCTTCCCTGGAGAGGGGCGGGCACGGCGGCGCAGTGCAGTTTTCTGAGGTCCTTGGGGTTGGCTCCTCTGCTGCCCCAGCATGTTCTGCTCTTTTTGGCACCCTGTGTGCTCTTTCCCACTCCCGCATCACTTCCCAAGTTCCCTACGGAGCTTCTTTAGACAATTTCCCAAATAAGTTACTTTCTTCGGATCCGCTGCAAGGGCGCTCCTTCTGAACACCCCTGTTCCCTGTCTCCGGGCCCTCAGCACGCGTCCACACAACAGGCCTGTTCTGCGGCCCCACTTTTGGGGTTACTGTCCGATGAACGAGCGAATCTACTGCCTCTTTCCAAGTTTCATTTTTGCATGGCTATTTTAAAACTAATCTGGAATGCGTTTTCTGCTCCATCCCAGGACCGGAGGTGCAGTGTGCGATGCCGTGTGGACAGCTGTGGATCCAAAGCAGGCTTGTTCGAGGGACACCACCCTCGTCTCTGTGCTGCAGGAGGCTGTGCGTCACGTTACGTTTGGATACGATCTGGATACTAGCTGGATAAGTACAAACAAAGTATTAAAAGGATATTTTTTTCAGGAAAGATTAGTAAGGAAATGACTTTCTGGAGCAATCTGGGAGAACGTGCAGGAGGAGGAGAAGCAGAGGCAAAATGTGCTTTCAGCCCATTCTGCCTCGTCCCACGCCCAGAGGAGCCAGAGTGAGGCCTCAGTTCTGCCTGTCCGGGAGGTGAGCGGAGCTCAGTTTCCACCAGCTGCGGCCGCCGCTGGGCAGAGGAGGATGCGGTCCGGGCAGCAGCTTGGCAGGAAAGTGGCCCCCATGGCCGAAGACAGCCGAGGAAGGCCACCCGGATGGCTCTGAGGAGCGGTTGTCTCCGTTTCGGTTGAACCTGGCCCTGTCCGTGTACTGACGCGCGCAGAGCTGGCGGGGCTTTTCCTCACGCCTTCACTCGGCTGTAAACTCTGCATCTGGCCCAGCCTGGCGCTGGCGTGTGCTCTTTGGAGCAAGGAGACGGGGCCTCCTGCTCCTGATATCTCCCAAAGAACATGTGTGAGCCAGGCAGGACGGAGAGCCCCGCTCCAGGCCGCGGGCCAGGATCAGCTTGAGACAAGAGGCCGTGACTCTCCAGGGCATGGGACGGTACCCCTGGAGCTGAATCCCCGACTCTGCACGTTAGGTACTACCTCCGCGGTGTCCCGCAGACCGTGCCTTCTGCAGCTCCTCCTCTCTGCGTGCTGCGGAGCTGACCTCAGGCCGCCCCTGCAGAGCCAGCTCGCAGCACTCATCTACCGCCCGCCTTTCCAGAAGTCGCTCATCTCCAGGCGGCTCCCTCTTCACGAGCTAATAAAACCCAGGTTCCACCCTGGGTCAGGACCTCTGTTCCAGGTAGCCGTCATCCTAGCTGGACTTAGGACCCCTTGGCTCCCCACAGCTACAAATGTTCTTTGGCATGTTTATTCTCACCAAGGGTTGCACTGGAAGTAGCAGATTGGAATTAACTGGCTAGGGTTCCAATAATTTTTCCATGGGGTGGCAAATACAAACTTCCTGGACCACGAGGAGGCCCGGGAAGGGCTTGCTCTAGACAACTTCCGGGACAGTGGAGCAGCCACGCACTGGGAGCCACCTGTGTTGTGAGCTCACAGTAGCTTCCATGGTTTAAAAATACAGCATGGGGCCGGCCAGATAGCTCAGCGGACTAAAGCACCTGCTTAGGCAGAGCACAGTGGCTGAGGTTCAATCCCTGGTGTGCCGTGCGGTCCTGCTCCCGGGGTGTGCTGAGACAGTGATTGAGACTGGGTGTGGTGGCGTGCAGCTGTAATCCCAGCACTTGGGAGGCTGAAAACAGGAGGGGCACTACTAGTCCGGTCTACATAGTGAGACTCTGTAGACCTTGTACTAAATACATTTTAAAAAATACAGCATGGTACTGGCAACAAACGAAACAAAACTGAAACAACACCCAGGTTTACACATCAGTGGAACAGCACAGGGGAGGCAGAAACAACTCCAGGAACATTCAGCTACATCTTTGACAAAGGGGCCAAATATCTCTCCAAGGCAGGAGAACCTCTTTAACAAATGGTGCCGGAAAAACAGCTTTCCACCTGCTGAAGATCGAATCTGGGCCTGTGTGTCACATCACGCACCAAACTAAAATCAAGATACATCAAAGATCTAAATATTTAAAATGAAACATTTAAGCTTCTGGACAAAATAGGTAAAACTCTTAAGACCTGGATGGAAGCAAAGACTTTCCAAACAGAACCATTGCTGCACAAGAAATAATACCAGGAACGAACAAATAGGATCACATCAAATAAAAAGCTTCTGTACGGCAAAGGACACTACCAACAGAATGGAGAGACAGACGCCTTACAGAATGGGGAAAAATCGTCATCTAGTCCTCAGACAAAAGACCGAATACTAGAATATATAAAGAACTCAAAAAAGGTTAGACACAATCAAAAATGGGTAGCTGAATGAAAAATTTCTTCTCAGATGAAAAAGTATGAAGGGTCAATAATACTGTATATAAAAAACGTTCAACGTCACTGACCATTTGAGAAATGTAAATTAAACAGCACTGAGAGCCAGCTGTCTTGTCACTCAAAGAGGCTGAGGCAGGAGGATCTCCTTGAGTGGGAGGCCATTCTGGGCTACATAGTGAGAATTGTCTAAAAAAACCCAAAACAAAACAAAACAAAAAAACAAACCCCAAAACCCAAACATACATTCATACATAAGCTCATTGAGATTCCATCTTATTCCAGAAAGAATAGCTATCAAGAAATCAGTCAGTAACATGCTGGAGAGGCTGCAGTGGAAAGAGAAGCCTTCTTCATCTTTGGTAGGAGTGTAACTTGGTCAATCCACTGTGGATGTTGGTGTGGAGACTCTTCAAACAACTAAAAGCAGGAGTTCCACTTGACCTCATCTAGATATCTTGCTGAAAGAGTTAAAATACCACATTTCAGTGACGAATGTACACACGCTCAGAGCAGCACAGGTCATACTAGCTGGCTCTTGGAAGCAGCCCATGTGTCCGTCAGCAGATAAATGATAAGGAGGACGTAGGATTGGGCTGGGGACCGAGCTCAGTGCCTCAGCGCTCGCCTGGCAAGCTACGCAAGGCCTGAATTTGATTCCTAGGAACAAAGGAGGAGGAGGAGGAAAAAGAGGAGGAGGAGGAGGAGGAGGAGGAGGAAGAGGAGGAACAGGAAGAGGAGGAGGAAGAGGAGGAACAGGAAGAGGAGGAGGAAGAGGAGGAGCAGGAAGAGGAGGAGGAGGAGGAAGAGGAGGA